ATTTTAATTTAAAAAAAAAAAAAAAAAAAAAAAAAAAATATAAACAAAATTTCCTTCATAAAATTCTTTTTACAGACACTGAAAAGATTTTCATTTTTATGAGTATTTGAATTTCTAATAGATATATATTTGCATATTTTTATATATAAATTTTTTTCTTTATATTTAAGTAGCTTTTTTTAATTGATTTCTTAATTTTTCCCATTTATGATAAGACCAAGCTGTTAACATAGCTTGGTTTTTTTTTTTTATTTCTTTATTTTCATCATATAAAAATTCATTATCATTTTCTTTTTCAAATATATTACTAGATTTAATACATAAAGTATTATTTATATCTTTATAAAATTCTACATGACCTTTTGAGACTAGTAATGTAATTAAAAATAATCGAAAAGTAGTTTCATTATATCCATTTAATGGATCACAATCAATGATAAAATTCAAAAATTTTACATTTTTTTGAGTTTTTTCAAGCATCTTTAATCTTTCTTTTAGTTTCATTGATTGCTCATATGTTTCTAGTTTAATTTCTGGTTCATCTTTATATTCATATTCCTTTAATTTTTTATAAGTGCTATTCAAATTTTTTACTCTATTATAAGCTTTTTTCTCTTTTGTTTCTAAATTGAAGGAACTTACATTATTCATAAATAAATTTAATGGTATAGTGTCATAATTTAAAGAACAAAAAGAAAATGTTTTTATACTAAAATATTTGGATATTTTTTTAAAATCTAAAGAATGATTACTATTATTTATAGTATTATCATCCAAAAAATTTTCATTAAATGTTTCTAAAATCAATTTTAGTTTTTCTTTTAATGAAATACTACTTAAACCTTCTGCTTTATAATTAATAATTTTTGATACTTGTTTTCCATATTGACAACATTTTTGCAATTTACTAATTTTTTCATCAAGATTCAATACAATTTTTCTATCAGTTTTTATTACCTTTTTTAAAGCATTATTTTGTTCTGGTTGGATTAACGTGTCAACATTTAATTTATCTATTTCATTTTGTATATAAAGTTCGTCGATTTTTTTATTTGTATGTTTTTTTTCATTAATTGTTTCTTCATCTGACATTTTTCTTTTTTCCTAATTTTATGTATATATATATATATTAATTATAGCACTAAAGTAGAATTACTAATTCTATTAAATATATATTATTCAAATTTTTTACAACTTTATTATTTTTATAATTTTTGTCCTTGTATTCTATTTTTTTTTTTTTTTTTTAAGAGAATATAATATTTCATTTTTTTATTTTTTTTAAATATTTTTTTTTACATTTTAATTATTTTCAAAAAGTTATTTTTTTTTTTTTTTTTTTATAATTTTATGTTTCATTGAAGTTATAAAAATTTTTCTTATTAAAATTTTGTGATCCCTTAATTTTTTCTTAAAGTAATTTTATATTTTAAAAAAAAAATTTTCTTTTTTTTTATATTTCAATTAATGAAAATATTTCAAAAAAAGTAAAAATGTGACAAAAAAAAAAAAAAAAAAAAAAAAAATATGTAAAAACATGACCGTTAATAAAAATAGTATTATGTGTACAAATTAAAAAAGTAAATGTGTATATTTAAAAAAAAAGAGAAAAGAAATATATATTAATAAGAATTATAAATATAAAAAAAAATAAATTAATGTACTAATGATATGAAATAAACATATAAAAAGCAAACAAAATATAAATGTTAGTAGTGAAGAAATTATGATGATTAATAATAAAATTTATTGGAACCATAAAAGTGGGTAATGGTATAATTATATATATATATATATATATATATATATATATATATATATATATATTTTTATTATATTTAATTTTCTTAAAAAATAAGAATAATATTTTTAAAATAATATTTATTGAATTTTTTATTTTATAAAAAATTTTACATAATTCCATTTGTGATTCTCTGAAAATAATCATACTGGACGCTTCTGAAATTATTAACAGATGCTTCTATTAAAGCATTTATTCTTTGAATACACTAAAAAAAAAAAAATAAAATAATAAGTATTATGTTGAAATAATAGTTTAATAAAGAATCATATAATTAATTCTGTGTGTATAAAATAATATATAAGTAAAATTTTTAATGTATTAAAATTTACATTTTTGAATATATATATATATATATATAAATATATATAAATATATATAAATTTTTACCACATCAACTGTTAAATTAGTCATAAATCTTTCTTTTAAAGAATCTATACAAAACTGAGCACCATTAGCAAAACATGGTATTTTTAGTGCTGATAAGGAAAAAAAGAAAAAAAAAAAAAAAAGTGTAAAAATAAAGATTATAAAAATGTATTGAAGATAAAATATACCTGGCATCATTAGTTCTACAAAAAGGATAATTTCGTCTGAATGTTTGCGAGCTTCTAAAAATCCACTAACAATAAGTCGTCTAAAATATTCATAATTATCTGATTTTTCTCCATCCATTATATCTAAATATTCTTGTGTTAATTTGAAAGGGGATGTTTCAAAGTTAACATTTCCAGGAGAATTTGTCAGCATAAATCCATAATCAATATGAATTAAATGACCATCAGAATCTAATAACATATTTCCATTATGTCTATCCTTTACTTGAAGCAAATAAGAAATTAGAGAATATGCAGCATGACTTTCAATAAAATTCTAAAAATGAAAAAATATTATGAACATATATATATATATATATATATATATATAGATATATATGTATATATAATATATATATATATAATATATGTTTACCTTTTTCGCTTCAAATATATAATCTGCAAATACTATATTAAAAATGGTCGAAATATTATCTGTTGCAAATTTTCTTTTTAGCGAATCAACAGAACAAGTATCATTTACATATTCAATAATTCCTGAATTAGATCCTGTTACTAAAATTTCATAAGGTCGTAACCATAATGGTAAACCAGCATTATCAAAAATAATTTTAAATTGTCTGATTAATTGTGAAGCTAATAATTCCTGTCTTAAATCATCTCCACCTTTAACTATTACACACTTGAGATCCCAAGATTTCAGCTTACCATAAGGAGAAATTTTTCTAATTTTTTTTTTTTTTTCTTCAAATAATTCTCCCCATAGTAGCCTTTTAATTATTCTGCAATTTTTCTTTTTAAATTCTTCATTTAAATAATTTTCTGGTTTGAAATATTCATTGATATCTAATAAATTATTTGGATATTCTATAGGATTGTTATTTTTAGAAATATTATTGTTTTCTTTTGGTTCTTCAGAATCATTGTGTGACTTATCTATATTATTATTATTATAATCAATAAAATTTTTATTTTTATTTTTTCTTTTTAATTCTTCATATGTTTCAATTTGTTCTATATTTTTTTCAATTAAAATATCATCTATACCACTATTTATATTTTCCCTCGATACTTTTATGTTACTATTAGTATTATTATTGTATTTCGAATCAACTTTTGTTGTACTATTACTTAAATAATTTGGCATAGAAACAGATCTTGAATTTAACTGATTTTTTTTTGCACACATCATTGTCGATATATCTTCATTTGTTGTTTGATTATCTTTTTTTTTTTTTTCTTCTTCTTCTTCTTCATCTGCTTTTAATCCAATACATTTTCTTATAAGAGATAAATTTTCTTCTTCTTTTGTATTAAAAGATATCAAGTTTTCTCTTCTTAAATCATTAACAATACAATTGTACACGTATAAATCATCCATTTTTAATTCATTTAAATCTAATATATATTTTTTTCTTTTTTCTTCGTTATTTTGTACATTCTCTTTTGTATATTTTTTTTTTTTTTTATCTTCAAAATTCTTTCTTTTTTCATATTCAAAAGAAGTGTTATTATCTACATAAACACTGTAACTTTTAGAACAACAAAAATTTTTTGATAGAATGTGATTTTTTTTGTTTATTTCTTCCATTTTGCTTGATTCTCTTTCTTTTTCATAATTTTTATTGTTTTCATCGTTAAGAACACTGCTTTTAGTATAAAAAATATTATCAGGAATATCACTGATATCTTCATCTAAATCAGCAACCTCAAAAACTAATAAATATGGTGCTCTTTTTTTAGAAAAAAATATTTTACATTCTTCATGATTAAAATGTAGTATTTGTAAATTGTTATAACTAAAATTATTTCCATTTTTATTATTAGATGAAAGGCTTTCTAATGGTATACATAAACCTGTCATAGCAAAAGTATTCTCACATGAAGCTACAATACACCTTCTCATATTCATCCAACTATTTAATGAATAAATAAATCTCTTCAATAATTCATTTCTTAAATCGATGTCAGGTTCTGATGATAATAAATTAGAAACTGAAATAATTAAATTAATGAAGTTATTTAATAAACTAAAGTAATCACATCTTCTTTGTTTCATAAAAAATTGTTGTAATTCTTCTATCATATCAAAACTATAATTTAAATCAGGAAGAGAAAATTTAGATAAGCTTAAAGGATTACCTAACTTAGAATATGTGCTTGGTAGTTTTACTTTTGCTCTAGCGATTGATAAAGAACCTGAATTTATAATATAACATGGAGGTAACTTTGGCAAGGTATTATTTTCTTCTTTTATTTTTTTTGTAGTTTCTTTTTTTTCTTCATTTTTAATATTTTCTATTTTTTCTTTCTTCTCTATTTCTTTTATTTCTTCTTTTCCTTCTCCTTCTCCTTCTCCTTCTCCTTCTTTTTCTTCTTCTTCTTTTCTTTTTTCTTTTACTTTTTCTATCTCCTCTTCCTCTTTTTTAGAATTATTCAAATCAGATTTATATATACTAGATTCTTTTAAATTCCCTTTCTCTTGACTACTATTATTAATATTATTATTATTATCACATTCTTTATATTTCTGTGTAATTGTATTTTCTTTAAATGAACTTCTTTCAATAAAATCTTTTAAATTTAGTGAATGATATGAATGTTTAGAACTTCTATTGTACATTTTCATTTTATTAAATTTTTCGTTAGTTCTTATTTTGATTAAAATGAATTTTCTTTTGAATAAGAGAGGATAAGCTAAATCAAGAAGATATGATTGTTTATTTTCTTTAAAGGTTTTGCATTCATTATTTAAGGGTTTGCAATTAACAACAGCCATCTCGATTTCTTGAATCATTTTTTGTGCTAAATCTTTATATTTGCTTGAATTATCTTCAACAATGGAATGATATATCCAACAGAGTTTTAAGGCGAAATGCATTGATTTACTTGCTTTATCTAATAAAAAACGATAAAGAGAAGAAGTTTCATATCTTACTAATGATATTTGACTTAATTGAGGTAAATAAAATAATATATCTTCATATTTTCTTTGAGTATATAAAGAATTAACTAGATACTCATGAACTCCAACTTCTTTTCTATCATACAAATATCTTATGTGCAAATGTGTGTCAAAATATTCACAACGAAATAATCGTAATAAACTACCTTCTTTTAATGTATTTTTATTCATTTTTATTTTTTTTTTTTCTATATCAATGTTATTATTATTATTGTTATTTGCATCAGAATTATTTTTTTCTATTACTACTGTTTCATTTACATTGTTATCACTTTTTTTTTTCCTTATTTCATTTATTATTTTTGGTTTAGATGATGGTGATTCTTTAAAAATTTTAGAAATATTTTCTCTTATCTGAACTTTATTATTTTTAAGTTCTTTATTTTTTTTTTTTTCTTCATTTTCTAATTTTTTTTCATATATTTCTATAATTTTTATTTTTTTTTCTTCCTCATATTTATGCTCCATTTTGTCTTCTCTTTTCTCTTTGTCTATATCTGAGTTTTCTTTTTTTACCATATCTATATTTTTTTTTTCGTTACTTTCATTATTACAATTACAATTGTTATTATCAATATTATTACAATTATAATTGTTATTATCAGTATTATTAAAATTATCATTGTTATTATCAGTATTATTAAAATTATCATTGTTGCTATTCACATTATTATCCTTATTATTATTCCTGTTAATTGAATTAATACTATCACTATTACTTGTATTATCGTTATTTTTTTCATTGTTATAATCTTCATTATTACATATATTATCTTCTTCTATTTTTTCGTTATCTTTAATTTTTTTAAAATATGGTTCAATTTTTTTCACAATTTTGTTTTCTTTTTCATTAGTCATATTGTTTGATTCCAATATTTCAGAATCATAAGATTTTAACTTTTTTTTATTTTCTGAAAAATTTTTTTCTGATAAATTCATAAATGAATACTGTTTATTAAAAATTATACTTTTATTTGTATTATTATTATTTTCTTTTTCTTTATTAAAATTTTTTGTATAATCATTCACTTCATTTTCTAAATAAGGATTACTAGCATTCTCATTATCAGAATTTAAATTATTTAATTCTTTTTTATTTACACTCTTATATCTTTCATAAAAATTATCATTATTTATATTAATATTTTCTTTAATGTTTTTATCGTTTTCATTCAAAATATATTCGTCTTCTATATTTTTTAAATGAATATAATTCAATTCATCTTTATAAATGTGTGTATTAAAATTGTGTTTATATACTTTTTTATATTTTAATTCATTTTTTAATGAATTTATTTTTTTTTCCTCTTCATCGTCTATAATTACATGTGAAAAATGAAATTTTTTTTTTTTTTCTTCATTTAAATTTTTTTCAATGTTACTTTTATGCTCCATTATTTTATTTTAAAAACTTAAAAAATATATAGAGTTATTAAAACACTTTAATTTTAATATATATTTTATTTTACCCTAATATTTATTTAAAAAAAATGTATATTTTTTTTTCTTTTAATTTGAAATTACTAAAAATTACTTTAAGAAATCATATTATCTTACATATTAATAATCACAAATTTTTTTTTTTTTTTTTTGTTTTATAAAAAATTTAAAAATAAAAATGAATTATATTACAATCACCATCTTAGAAGTTAAAAAAAAAAAAATAGGATTGAATATTAAAAAAAAAAAAAAAAAATTGCTATAAATATATAAAATATTCTATTTTTTTTTTTAAAAATCTTAATAATTAAAGCATGTTTAAAATACTATTCTTTTTACTAAGTTATTGAAATAGTATTTTTATGCTTTCTTTTGTTTTCCTTTTCTTTTATTTGTTCTTTCTGATTTTACTTTTGTTGGTGTTTTATAAATATATTATATTATTTTCAAATAGTTTTATCTATATTTGTTATGTTTTTGTTTTATTTTTACTTTTTCGGTTTTTTGTTGTTTTTTCTTGTTATAGATGACAATTTTAATTTTTATTTTTCATGAATGATTTTGTAAAAGTAGCTGTTCACTGTTTTCATTTTATTATTTTATTATTTTTTATATTTTTTCTTAATATTTGTTATTTTGTTTATGATGTTTTATTAATTATAAATTTTTTATTTTGTTGTCTTTTTTTATTATTAAATTTTCCATTTTATAATCTTACTTTTTCTAATTATTTTTTTTTAAGTTAAAAATATTCTTCAAAAATTACGACAAGAAATAGAATAATTTTATATTTAATTTATATTTGAATGTGCTTACTTTTTGATTTTTTTTTTTTTTTTTTTTTTTTTTTTTTTAATTTTTT